AAATTCTTATTACTCTATGGGGACGTGACTAATGCTTTAATAGAAAATTCCAGTTAAATGACTATAGTAGACTAATCATTAATTCTATAACATGATTCTGACAAAAACATACCTAACTTCCCCCAAAAGCACACAGTAGCTGTAAGTAGCAGCAAACATAAGAATTGTAGCTACCAAAACTCTCTCCTTTCACTTTTTACTCATATTTGTTAATATATAAGGTTTGATCATAAATAATAAAAATTAAATTCACAAGTCAAGAAGAAATCTAAGTATATTTTAACAGAATCCTTCACATTCTTTGATTTTCCCAGGCAGCAAATCTAGGAATGCTTATGAGTTCTACTGGATATTAGTGCTAATTATTAATATATACTTACAATTATGCCCTTTCATCCAAGCACCTCAAAGGGTTTTTAGAGCGTTAATTTGTTATTTCTTACAATATTTCTGAGAGGCAGGCTGGTAGAAAGTTATTATTATCTCTGTTTTATAGTCAAAGAAACTAGGGCATAGAGAGGTTAAATGACTTTACTAGGGTCATATGGTGAACAAAGAAGTTTGGAACTTCAGATCATTGTTCTCATTTCTAATTCAGTATATTATCCATTATGTAGTTGCTTAATGTGCGTAAATGTATTTCTGTTCTAGGAATATTGAGAATAATGTATTTGAATAATCTAAGAATTAAAGGTGAGAGTTCCTCATTTTTTGGTTAAAAACTAGTAATTAGTCTTTGGTTTGCTGGTGTAGCTATTTAGACAGCTTTTGCTATTTGTGGTTTTCTGAAGCCTCTGCTCAAAAATGATCCATTCTATTTCTGACTCTTTTAAGCTAGGTTAGCATAGCTGTGAACAACCAAGCAGCAGCTGAGACAGGTGACTAATGCACTTGAGGCTGTCTTTCATTGTGTTCTCATTGCTTACTCTTGAAGTTCTCTGTTTAACACTCTTCTAGTTCTCCCTTCAACAGGTGTTTATGCAACCTACCATCCTCAATCTTCTGTCTGTGGCCAGTTTAACTAATCTGCCCTGTCGATTACTAACTTAAATATTTTAAAATTACAATAACAATGATACTAAACTTTACAAGTTTATGATGCTATACTAATTATACTGTTGCCACATTCAGTTTCTTGTAAGCCTGACCTTTACCATCCTTATAAAAAATATGGTCCTTAGAAGACCATTAAGCTTATATTACCACATGGGGATTTTTTTAAATGTATTTCAGTATTTTCCGAAGCAAAATTAGGGAGAAAGAAGAAGTGGTTTTGAATCTGTGTTCAATGAAGTGAGACTGCACTGTTGGCTTTTGGATGTGGTAATACAAGTCTGTGGTGTTTGTAACTTCCTATCACATCCTACCCAGAACTCCAGACCGGTACTGAAACTGCCATGAGACAGCACCATCAGTACTTAAAACTCATCAGGTCCAAAATGGTCCTCATTTTCCACACTCCCTCTCCTATCCCATCAGACCCTTCCCTATCCCATTTGGTAAGATCCACCTTTATCCTCCCGCAAAAGCAGGACAAGGCTTCATTATTGTCACTTCCATTCTCTTAACCAGGAAGCACCTGCCCACTGGGAATCAATTATCATAATCAGTTGATTTAGCATCCTGAATATTTTAGGAATCCATCTTCTTTGGATGCTCTCTGCCATTCACATTATGGGTCTTATCTTTTCTCTTGATTCCTGTTACGACCCCTTGTATACAAGCTCTCTGCTTGCCCTGTTCCTCCCCTCAACTAATCTGCCCTCCACCAACAGCTCAAACTGTAAATCTGCCCAGGGCCCATCCTCTATTCATTGCCTCACCAAGGCAAGAACGATAGTTAATGTTTGGCTCCCGTCTGCTTCTTCAGATTCTTTTTCAGCAACCCAGACTTCTCAACACTCATTATTTCTCCCTTTGCTACATGCCCTTTCTGTCAAGACTTGCCATTCCACCCCTATTTTTGTGCTATAAAATCCATAACTTACCTTTAAAATCTAACGCAATTTTACTAAAGTCATCCATTCTTTCCTCCTCCTCCGTATACCTTGATATACCATAATTCCAACCATAATTATTTGCTTTCACTAGGCTGGACATCCCTTGAATGGACTGTATTGAAGCATGGAGTTGATACTCAATTTTGGGGGGTGAGGTGGGGAGGAGGATAAGGGAATAAATAAATGTCAAGAGATGACTATAGCTGCTAACGGATGTTAGTCTAACGATCTATTTCGAATCTGCGTAAGGGTTAAATAAAAGCAAACGATTTAGTGGAACTACTTCCAACTTAGGCTACCAAATCACAGGATGGGGCCGCGGGATGATCTCAAAGCCACGCCAGGCATCAGACCTGCAGTGTTGCAAGGGGCTCGAGAATCCTTAGAAAAGGATCCCAAACTATCCAAGGATGCGAGTTCTCCAGGGATCAGCAGTCAAGTATGAGTCTCAGGGCAGCTACCGAGACCCTCCAGCCGGGGCAGCCGACTGGCCCATCTCCAGGGATTTAGCCCGCGACAAGCTACGTGGCTGGCTCCACTCTGTAAAACCCCGGCCACAGGACAGAGCGGCCTCCATCCTAGGACGCCCCGGGATAAGGGGCTGCCCCCTAGAAGCAAGATGGCGGCCTCCGCCCTCCCCTCCTCCCCGCAAGAACCCCCTCCTGGTCCCCAGAAGAGGGACAAGAACGTCGTGGCGCCGGCGCCGAGATCCGGGAAACTCCGAGGCCCGCGGCCACTCCCGGACCCCCGGGAGGTGACTTCACCTCGTCGTGCACAGAGAGCCGGGGGTGGGGCTGCCCGAAAGTCAGTGCAGCCCGCCCTCAGAGCGGAGAGGGTGGACACCGGCTAGCCGGCGCCCTGCGGTGCATTGTTCTCCATCTCTGGCCCGCAACACCCTCCGCTCCGCCCGCGGACAGGAAGTTGCTTCCCAGCTGGCCCCGCCCCGCTCCCCAGCGCCCCGGAAGTGATCAGTATTGACTGCTGCAGAGCGGCCAGGAGGAGGGTGGATCTCCCGAGAGCGGAGCTCCGTAAGTCCTCCTCCACCTCCTCCTGCCGCCCAGGCTCCGCCGCCGGCCGTCGAACTCCTCCTTCTGTCGCTCCCGGCGCGGAGCCTCCCAGACTACAAGGGCCGAGCACTTTCCGGCCGGAGTCAGCTTAGCCGCGGCTTCGGAAGCCCGCGGGGCCGCGGACCGGCTTGCGGTGCAGGTGAGCGATGCCCGCCCGGGTCGCCCCGGGAGGGGTTGGGGCCGCTGGGGTTGGCGGCGGGGGTGTGTCCGGGCGGCGGCGGGCCGAGGCCCGGGCGCAGGGCCCGGACGCCGAGATTGCACCTCCAGCGTTCTGCCCGCGAACCAGCTGCGGGACGAGCCCGGGCTGGAATCCGGGGCGCCGTGCTCGCCGCTGTGCGGGCGAGTGCACCCCCTAGAGCGGGCGGTTGCGGCGGGATCCCCGAGCCGGGCAGCCCCTCGAGCTGGCCTCGTCGGAAGGTCACCCCGTATCTCTGGCCCGCCGCGCCGAGGTCCCCGCCTGGGCGGTGCCCGCGACCTGGGGAACCCGTCGCCGCAGTCCCCGCGCCTCACTCCGCCCCTCTCTCCTCCTTCCCTTTCTTCCACTCTGTGTCTGTATGGGAGCAGTTGCTTTTTAAGCATCTCCGACAGGGTTTTGTACCAGATAAAGGAATGGCTTTTTCAGACTGAAGTCATTAGATGCTCTGCACTGAGCTGAATAGCTGGTCCTGAGCTCTCGCACAGGTTTAGCCAATATTCGGGAATTCGGCTTCTGAAACAAGGAAGATAAGATGGATATTTTGAGTGAGGTGGTTCCGTGGAACCTCCGTGGTTCGTTCCTAAATGTTTTTCAGAAGTGGAAGGTGTGACTTGTATGCTTTAGCCTGGGTAAATGTGTTAGTGGGCGGGGGTGACGGCACAGAGAGGTGGCAGTGTTGTTTCAAGGTTTAAGGAGAATGAGGGAGTTGACTGGCCTTTGCTCGGAAACCTGAATGTCCAGACTTGTGAGAGCTCATCCAAGTGTCATTGAGGTTGTGTGAGAACTCCAGAGCCACGCCCTGCCTGTCAAGCTGAGAAGCACTTAATTTACAAATTGTGTTGAGGGGGAGAGGGGGTCGTTATAAAATATATATCATAAGTTAATTCTTGTCCAGGAAGCACATTATGGCTTTTTTCATGCTGCAGAAATTGGATAACAAATTTCGTTAGTAAACTCACTGCAAGGGCTTCCTTTTAGCTTACGTTTATTAGTATGCTGAAATATGTGTTAGTAGCTTACGTTCTTGTCTCTTTTAATACAATATTATTATAAAATGACTCTTGTGACTCTTAAAACATTGTTTTTAGACTTTGAATTTCTTCGGGGCAGGAGCCATGTCTTACTCATCTCTATGTTTCCATGAAGTGTGCCCAGAACATAGAAGTTATTCACACAGTTCTTCACTGAATGAATCTGTAGGTGATCTCACAGTTGCCTTCCAGTAGTCATTTATTTTGCTGGGCTAAGGTTTGCTTGTGGGTTTGTTTCGGTTTGGCGGCACATACAGACTTTGCTTTGTCTTTCTGTTCTTTAGCATGGTCAAAGGACAAATCAGAAAGAATTCTTTGCCCTCCTTCTAAAACTATCCTCCCTTAAAAGGTTAAAATTATATTTAGGGTGTTGGGATTAGGCATTATAATAATTTGTATTCCAGTATTAAATGCTTACTACCTGAGCATTTTTGCCCAGCGTTATCAAGAAGAGATTTCCTGGTGATAGTAAGTTTATGTTTGGAGTGATGACTATACCCCATCTTAATCAAAAAAGAAACTGGGAGTTATCACTGTTGGGATAATGTGGTACATTGCAGAATTGCTTACAGTGGCTCCTTTTTTCCCATGGCTAGATGAAGTCCTCTGACCTCCTCTGATGACCTTGACGTGATTTACCAATAGCTACTTTGACCATTTTTTCCAGAGATCCAGATGCTGTTCTCCAGGGTTTCTGCTGACTCTACAGTCATCTGTATCATTTATTTTGAAGTAATTCTTCCTGTAACACTTTCTTTGCAGGGCTTTCGGGGAAAAGGGCTAATTATAGGAAAGAATCTTGTCTACCATTTGTGTGGGGAGATAATTTTTGTCTATAGATGGTTGGGTTATTTTCACTGTAGGGAGGTTCAAATAAAAAAGTGCTGATACCTTCTTTCCGCTCCAAATGTCTGGTCCTGCACTGGTTTTCCAAGCTCAGCTACTACAAAACATAAATAAATGTACCAGTATCATTCTTGTGTATGTGTGTTTCAGTGTAATATGCAGTTGTAATCCTTAGTACATGGGTTGCGGAGACAATCACTTAAAATACTGGGATATGGGGCTGTGAATATTCATGGGGAAAAAGATTATGATTTTGAAGAAGTAGGTAAGTTCATGGTTTTCATTGTTTTATAAAATGTTTTAATTTTAGACACTGGGGAGAGGGAAGGAAGCCTGCAATTTCTTATCTCAGTTACCACTATACAGAGATCAGAGCTCTCTTTTATTTCAACAACCTCTTGGTAATAACAGCCCTCCTACATTGATTGCCTGACAAGCACTGTTATTAGAGCTGTACTTATATTATTTTTAATCTCCACAGTATTTCTGCAAGATAGATAGTTTTTCCATACTTTACTAAGGCTAGGTGAAGTTATTTGCCGGAAGCTGAGCTGCTAGTGTATAACAGAATCTGGATTTTAAATGATTTCTGAGAGCATTGGCTATTGCAATTAATCCAAAAAGGTTGAGAAAAAACTCGATTCTGATTAAGCTGAGCTCTAAGAAAGCAAAGATACTGAGCCCCTCAGCACTCTTGGCCATCAGATGGGGCCTGGGGTAACCAGTGACCCTGGCCAGGTGGCCTCAGACAGCAGCCAGTCTTCTTTCTATGACCTTCAGTGTGTTACCACCTTCTGCGTGTGCCGTGATGAAAAACTGGTTGGGCATTGTTCATAAAAGTGTCCTGGGAGAGTAGAGTATTAGACACTCAACTTTGGTGTTTGATGATTACTTTTTACCTTTTAAGTACCTGAAGAGTCCCTATATTAAAGGACTGTTGGAAACCTATTGGTCATGACCTTTCCTGCAATCCTGTTGTTTTTTAGTTCTTTCTTGGACTAAAGGAGATGGGGGAGAGGTTGTGGGAGAATGGGAAGAATGGTGAAAAAGCAAAGGTGTACGGAGGCTGTTTTTAGCATTTCAGACAGTTTATCATTTTCCCTCTCGGTTTAGTATGGAGGCTTCAAGGTGACAGAACTCTTAGAAGGGTCTAATTGCTCTTTGGTGCCAGTAGAATTCTCTTCACTCTCCTCAAGCCTCTGTACTTTTTATTTTATTTTTTAATTTTTTTTTATTTTGTTGGGGGGTGATTTATTTATTTTTGGAGGAAGTACAGGGGATTGAACCCAGGACCTTGTGTATGATAGGCATGTGCTCTACCACTTGAACTATACCTTCCCCACAAGCCTCTGTACTTAAAAAAAAACAAAAAAAACCACCCTTTTAAATGGGCTTAATTTGAAGGATGTGTTCATCTCTTGGTTTAATAAAAAAAAAAAAAGCGTATAGCTGTAAGTAAAAAACAGCTTATTCTCCAGCCCCGATTAGTAACAGTTGTTCTTTGTTTTTATTTTTGTTTCTTTAGCTCTAAAACACTTTTCTTACTACTGTGTAACACTCATAAAGATTTGGTTACAACATAGGGAAAAAATGAAATTAAAGCTCTGTGAGTTCTTAAAAGATGATTGAATACATTTTGGAAGAGAATTTGCATCTTTGATTTAATTATACCTGAAGGTAAAAACTTAATTTCTCAACATCAAGAGAGTATTCTGTACAAGCCAAAAAGCAAGTTTCCAGAAAATATGATGTTTTTCTTAAAGGCTTTCCCAGCTAGAGTCCTGTTATTAGATTCAGTAGATATAAAGCTTGACACGCAACATCTCCTTGAAGTCTGGGATCCAATTTCGTTTCAGAATTCACTTACTGAAACTAAATATTAGGGTTTGACAGTGACATCTTGGAGAATAAAATACAGTAAGATTATAAACTGACTTCTTCAACTCCCAGATACATTGTGAAGATGGGGCAAAGATCTCCAGTTTCCACAAAGATTGTGATTGTTGTCTTCTAAGCCTCAAGATTCCTGCTTTCTTACGCAATTGAGTAGCTAGCATAGTAATCCATTGAAGTAATCCATTGAACTACTGAGTGGTTGCAAACACTTTAGTTCAGCTGCCCTGTCTAGGTCTATTCTGCATGACTGTAGCAGCCTTTTCGCCTCTGGTTGGGTCACCTCCTTCTGATCTTTTCTCTGCACTTGGTTAGAGCATTCGTGTTATTCCCCTGCTTCAAAACGCTTTCATAGTTCCTTCTTGCTATTGATGAAATCTGAATTCCTTTTATCCCTAATTTCATATACAAAACTTTTAACATAAGGTAAGGAGCACCTTACCTAAGTCTGTAGCTTTATTTCTTTTTTTCTGGGTATTCAGTTCCAGCAATCCAGGCTTCTGGAATGCTAGCATTTTTTCTGTCTCTCATTTCCTCTTCCTGTAATTCTAGCCACTCCTTCACCCAATCTAATGTATCCCTGCTTGTCCTTTAGAACTCAGTTTAGCTTATACCGCTCCAAAAATTGTATCTTGATTCGATTCTTTCTCTCAGTCCCATCCCTTCAAAAATAAAAATAAAAAACCTTTCAAGACTGGGCTAGTTGCTCCCTTCATGTGTTGCCATGAAATCTCCCATCGCACTTACTACTATGGACTGTACCTTCATTAGCCTGTTGTAAATGTTGTTGACCACAGTCTACAGTTACCTCCTAACTACATGTACACATAGACTCTTACAAGCCTTCACAGGCCTCTATTAGAAGTTCCCCAGACTTTCTCAGTTCATGCATGGCATCCTTATTATGTAGGTGATTTTTCACGGCATCCCTAAGTAAGAAGAAACACCTAATGGTTTAATTTATTAAATAGTTAGGTCCAAACAACTTAAGTATTTATGTACTAACAATTTAGAAACTATTTGAAAAAAGTAATACACATATGTTAAAATAAACAACTTTCATTTTTAACTGCATAGCACCCCATGGTTTATTCATCCAGTTATCCTGTACTTGGACATTTAAGTAATTTACAGTATTTTTCAATTACATACGACGTAATGAAAATCTTTGTG